GATTTGAACCTGATCTCCACAAACCCGAGGGAAGACTTCAACGATCACGAGCCTAAGGCTTTGATACCAGTTGTTGGGGTATCTATGAATACTGAATAGCAAACCACAACCAAACACAAAACAGAAATCAAAACGGAGAAAACGGAACACAAGATTTATAGTGGTTCGGTCGGCTGACCTAATCCACTTTGCAACTAGGGTTTTTATTATCTAGGTGCTCACAGAATTAGAAGTACAGAGATCCCTATTTATGAAGACTAAACTAGGGTTGAAAACTTAATCCCCAAGTTAGGCCCAAGCCCACATAGAGAATTAGGGCCGGCTAAATTAAAAAACCTAATTTACTGCCATATGGGTCGAACCAAGACTAGGGCCGGCTGCCCTTCCTGGTCGAGCCTCCACACTCAATTCGCCCAACAATACCCAGAATCAAAAGTAATTGGGGGCGCCTTTTGATAAAGGGAACTAAGAATTGTCTGGGTTTGAGGGCAGTGTCCCTGATTTTTTCAAAGCCAACATTGAATGACAAAAAAAAAATACTTCCTTCGTCCTCCAAAACTTTTCAAAGACAAAAAAAGGCGCGCCCTAAAAATATGTAGTTTGATATTATTTTCTAATTATGACTCATCTATCCTACACATCAAATCCTACCTTATTATAAAGTAAGTGCAAAATTAGAAAATAATATCAAAATTACACAATTTTAGGGTGTGCCTTTTTTCGTCTCTGAAAAGTTTTATGGGACAGAGGAAGTATAAAAATATCATTTCAAACATACATTCAACAACAAAAACAACCCAGTAAAATCCCACAAAAGTAGGGTTTGGGGAGGCTGTGTGTACGCAGACCCTTCCCCTACATACATTCAAATAATTCAAACATACATTCAAATAATTAGAATGAAAAGTCATAAAATAGAAAAATATACTTTATGGAGTATATCATTACTTAAATTATCATATTATACTCCGTAAATATTTCACTTTCGTATTCTATTCAAACGATTATTTGGTCTAGGCTAGTGTTTAATGAATTAAGTGTTTTGAAGAATGGAAGTTTTCAGTGACAGATGAGTTGGACTGCGTTTTTTTTGGATTGGGACACACTTGTTTTACTTGGGGCACCCTTTTAATTTACTAAATTTTATAAATACTGTATCAAACAAGTTAGTTGGGGGCACTCCCCCCTACTAAAGCTAAGTAGATTTGCCACTGAGTACGATCTGTGAACAGTCCCTATATCATTACCCTTGTTTAGTTAATTTCATGAAGAGACTGTGTTTCTAGTGGTTGGAACCAGGACCAAAAAGATACTGAGTAGACACTTGACCATTGGGCCATCACACCAAGCACAATCTTCTTTTTAGAGTATAATTTCAATAAAATTAGTTGGAGATAAAGATATTTGAAGTTGATGTTGCCTCATTTTGAAGCTATGCAGTTGGGATGGTGCAGTGACTAGTGAGAGCTAATTAAACTTGAGAGGAGTGGTTAGCTGTGTGTTTAGGGCTCTCAGAGTTAGATAAGTTTTGTAAGGTACTTGCTTTGTGGCCTTCTGTTTTTTCCCTATTGTTAACTTTTATTTTCTCCCCATTCTCATATATGTTTTCTGCTTTTACTTGTTAGACTTTACTGCTCTGTTTTGTCTGTACTTTTCTTTGAGTCGGGGTTCTTTTGGAAGCAACCCCTCTCGCTTGGTAGGGGTACGGTCTGTACACCCTCCCCCCAGGCCTCACTTTTAGGAATTTACTAGGCTCTCGAATATCACTTTCTGTCTTTCTGGGTAGTGGAAACTGGGAAAGTTCTTGAATCTTGATACCTATTAGCTTTCAGGTAGTCTGAGCCGTAACCATGTTATTATAAATAAGATAAAGCTCTCTATTCTGCATCTATTCCCGTTTCTAAAGTTGTAAACTTTCTCTGTTCTGTCTTTGATCTAGGGTTATTCTTTCGTTTCATTTCACCTGCATACACATTTTGTTTTATTATGCGGTTATATGATGCAAATGATTTCTTTTCTTTTACCTTAGAACGTTAAGGTTTAATATCCTTACTTTTTCTTCTCTTTGAAGGGCTGAATCCAGAAAACCAGAGCGTTATTCATCAGCTGCGCCACTGTCACGTTAGTTTCCCCTTATTGTTCTTCATGTGCAGTGGCTACATGCTGGAGCTTAAAAACAAACATTCAATTGAAGGATAATTCTACATTTCTACCTCATTCTCTGGGTGTATTTTTATAAGCATATCTTCCAGCAACACTTTCTTATTTTAGTCAGTATATCATGCAGCTGATGCACGCCTTCGCATTGTGTCTGAAAGAGTTGACTTCAATGAGAACCTAGTTATTTCTGTTATGGTAATTCAGAAGTCTGAGTATTTTGACCATAATCATAATTTGTTTAAAGAACTTAAAGTGAATATAATCTGGTTCAGGTAGGTCCATTGAATTCAGAGTTCCTAAAGTCAAAGGACAAATGTAGCTGGAGTGCCAAGGATGTTGCTGACTCTGTTTTATCGGATAAGTTTGTTTTGGTAATTTGATCTTTGTCTGTAGATAGATTCATGAGCATATTTCAGCCTTATGTGTTTCAATGTGGCGCACATCCTGTGCCTTTTTCTTAGTTGAAAATCCATCGATTTTCTGTATTATCTCTCTTTTCGGATTGGATTTGAGTCTAGAATGCATAAGTTCAAGGGCTATAAGAACCTTTTTGTAGTGCTAAATTTGTATTAAACAAGCTCTAACAGTACCAGTACAATGAGGGATCCTTAAGAACTGGTTTCTCCCCTTCCTGACAAGTTCATGGATAGTTCATGCCTTCTGACTTTTTTAACGAAAGCATATCTACATAAGTTCAAGTTTTATACTGAATATTTTGTATTTTGCAATTTTGTACACTGTACACCAATAGGCACTTCCTTTTTCCTTGACCTTTTATGTATTACGGAGTATTACATAACCTTTTTTTCTAAAAAAAAAGAAGAGTATTTACTTCCCAGTTTGGTCAATCTCTTTTACTATTCTTCAAAAACTTACATTCTGTAATCTTAACCAGCGGGTAACTCCAAGTCAACGTTTGGCTGGGAGCTCAGTTCTTGATGCACATTCTTCCCATGTAAGTTTTATTTCTCTATCCTTTTCTCTTGTTTAAGATGTGCATAGTTTTGTTTTTCTATTTCTTAGGTTAATGTTTTGGATGATATTTGCTTATGTGAGTCTCTTTGATATTAGATTGATGGCGATCCATATTGGCATTTTGAGTACCTTGTTCGCAAATCACCAACAAATGCCGTGAGTTTCATTCATAATTTAGAAATGATGTGACTAAATGACCTAATGTTGTCCAATTACTATTATACCTAATACTGAATGAATCCAGGCTCTAGAATCAAATGTTTTCCGCCACTATGTTGCTTCAACAGCTGAACGAGATGGTAAGAATTTAGTTTAAATGTACCCTAAGTTTCACTTTCACTTTGGTTTTGAATGGCTTGATTTTAGCATTTGTTAATGGTCTTATTTGTATAGTATTTGAATAAAAAAGGTTCTTGTATATTTTAAAATTTCAAGAAGCTGCTTCTATAGATATAATATATGTTTTCTCTTGTTTTAATATTTAACATCTAGGTTAAATATTTAATACGAGTAATTCATATTAGAAAAAGAACGAACCAACGGCGATGAAAATGGGATTTTTCTACTTTCCTTTTTAACGATAAAGGAGCTGAATAATGCTTTCCATTTTTTGCGGTGGAAAGATATCTCCTATCAATTTTCGAAAGAGACATCTTTCTTTGGAAAATGTAAATACTTCTGTCGTATTTTATTTATTTTTCATCCTTGTTGATTAATGAAGTCTCTTAGAAGTACCAATAAATGCTGCCTGGATTAATGATAATAATCTGAATCTACCTATTTTCCTGCGTAAAAGAATCATTAAGATTGAGCTTTAGTACTTGCAAGTTATCGTCACACCTTAAAAAAAGGGCAGTCCAGCTCACAAAGTATAAGAGTCCGAGGAAGCGTCTTGCCACAAGGGTCATACCTTCAAATGAAAAATTACTCTTATGTTTTCTGGTTTAACTTTTGATACAGTATTCTGCTGCATTTCAGGTTACCTATATACCCTCACAGCTTCAACACTTAATAATAAATGGAACGAAGTAAGTACTTGAGCTATTTTATGTCATGAATCTTCTAGGGAAGCCTTCTTGTTTGAATTTGTTGAATTCTGATTACAAATCCATTCTGACAGTAAATGTGCATTTGTTCTATTTACCGTTAGTTTGATAAAATTATTAGGTATCCAAACTATTCTCCCTCCGTGCCAAATTAAACATCTTGTTAACTTTTTGCGCGAGGTTTAGTAAAGTGAAATTGTGTGGTTGAGATTTACCCTATGTTTGGTTCAAGGAATTTTGGAAGGAAAAGAAAATGATTTCTCTTCTTTCTCCTCACCAAAGTGGAAGGAATCCAGTTTTCCTTCTTCTTAGCCTATTTTGCCTTCTCATTTTCTTTTCCTTCCACTTCTCTTTTCTTTTTTCTTTCTAACCAAACATGAAAATTTGCTTTACATCTTACTTTCCTTTCTTTTCCCTCGCAAATTCCTTGAACCAAACATAGTGTTAAGCAAAGGAAAAAGAAATAATATGAGCCACACATTATTTTCCTTTAAAAGGAAATATGAAGCTTATTTTGGGATGATCCAAAAAGGATAGTGAGAAATTTATTCGGGACATGGGGAGTATGTAAAATCATTTTCACCATCATTTAAAGCATGCAGGATCTTTGGTTTAATAAACTAGGGAACTAGAAAACAGATAGATTTGTTTTCAATTTTGAATTTGACATGACAGTGATTGCTGCAGATGGGACCATTCTTAGAAAAAAGTGCTGCTTCTTTCCATCTTCTCCCTCCAACAGAAAGATATGTTCCTCCATACAAAGATCCTTGGAGATTTTGGTGAAGGAATATCACTGTATCAGTTTTTCTGGAGTCTGGAGATGTAGACATTGATTGGCAGAAGCCATGAAATAATCTTGCAAATACTGTGGCTCTTTGTGTGTGTGTGTGTGTCCTTAGATCCTGAGCAGACTGTAATGGATGCAGAAACAATGGTTGGACATCTTGGATCTGAAGAATATTCATGGCGAAACTTTTTAAGGTTGATGTGGTTCATGAAGGGAGCAGGTGGAATATGAATATGAATATGATATTTATTTTGTCATCTTTCTTGCTTCTTCAATCTGAGAATTAGAGTGTTGATTAATTAGTAGCATTTGTAGCCAAGTCCTGACCAGTTTCTCCCAAATTTGTTAATGATAATAAAACCTTATAATGGTTTATGCTGTATACAAGGCAGACTAAATACATAGTGATTTCATTGGTACCTCCAAAGTAAATCAACATGTTCTATTTTCTCTTTGGTCTTTTGGCATATTATTATAGCCTGCCATCTTAAATAGTATCGATCTCAGTGGTTGAGCTCCTCCTGGGAATTCCTTCTGCAGCTGGACCAATATTCAGCTACCAGTTTTGAGAATGAAGAATTAATTCCCATAAGCTTTGAAGGCTCATCATATTCAACGAGCTTCCCTGCAAGAAACATTTGGAAAAACATAGCGCTTTTATTGTTTTAAGTTGCTGGCCTATGGCATTTGGTTGGGTTTTCTTTGTCTGATGGTCAGTACCTGAACTCGAATGGAAAGGAATATGATATGCGTGTCTAATGGAATGGGAAGAGCTTACCAAAAGAGAGGAGGAGGACCATATCGCTGTCTATGACAGTGGGAACACGATGAGCAACAGTGATGACTGTGCAATTGCAAAATTCTTCTCTGATGATTTTCTGCAAAGTGGAATCTGTAGCTGAGTCAATGGAAGCCGTTGCCTCATCCAGAATTAAGATTCTGTTCCTCTTCAGAAGTACTCTTCCGAGGCAGAACAGTTGGCGTTGTCCNGGGAAGAGCTTACCAAAAGAGAGGAGGAGGACCATATCGCTGTCTATGACAGTGGGAACACGATGAGCAACAGTGATGACTGTGCAATTGCAAAATTCTTCTCTGATGATTTTCTGCAAAGTGGAATCTGTAGCTGAGTCAATGGAAGCCGTTGCCTCATCCAGAATTAAGATTCTGTTCCTCTTCAGAAGTACTCTTCCGAGGCAGAACAGTTGGCGTTGTCCCATGCTCCAGTTGTCACCCTCATCACTCACTGTTTTTGTATGACAACAAATCCAAATGAAACAAGATCATTGGTACATGATGATGATGATGAATTGGTAATGATTCACTGCATGAAATGCTCCCAACTAAATCTTGGATCACAGAAATCCAGACACATGCACAAACTTTATAATTTTAAATGACCTGAGGAATCTAGCCGGTGTGGAAGTCTGCTAATGGTATCCTTGAGCTGGCATTTCTCCAGAGCCTGAAAAAGGAACTTTTAGGGTATTGTTTGGGTGGTAGTCAGAATAAACTCATGATTAGAATGATGGGAATTCACCCAAATCCAGTGCAGTGGGAAAGCCCCAAAGTATGAGAGAGGCATCATATCCCTCCAATTCCAGGAATTGAAGTTTCTCAGGAATCAGTGAATTCATGGAGTTTCCAAATCCAAACAGTCACACACTTCCAGAGAATCCGAAGCCAATCCAAATTTTGAGTAATGGCAACATGCAGCAATCAAATTTTGGTGATTGGCTAGATAAGTTTACCTTCCAAATTTGATCATCAGAGTAAAGTCCTAAAGGGTCCAAATTTGATCGAACACTCCCTCTGAAAAGAGTAGGTTCTTGTGGGATGATACTGAGTTTTAGCCTCAAATCTTTGAGGCCTATGGAGCAGATATCAAGACCATCTACAATGATTTTCCCACTGTAAGGCTCCACTAGGCGAAACAATGCACTGATCAGTGTCGTTTTCCCGCTTCCTGTCCTCCCCACAACTCCTACTCTTGTCCCTTCATTGAAGGTGCATGTTATTCCTTTGAGGACTAATGGAGCATTTACACGGTATCTTATCTGCATTCAAATAAGTATTATGCTAATCTTATGTGTCGATTGTACTTTTTGAAACATTTCAGTTGGTTTAGAAATTAGAATATAGCAAATACCTTCAGGTCTAGAAATTCTATTCTACCCATGGAAGGCCAAGAAGAGTTTGGCCTGTTATTTTCCACCACAGCTGGTAGCTCCGGAGTTAGATGCATAAATTGTTTTATCCTTTCAGCTGAGATAACATAGTTAGCTAAGTTGCTATACCACCGGCTTAAATACACTTGAGTGGTTGTTAGTAACAAGGCAAATGAAAAAGAGAACCCCACGAGACCTGAACAGTGAAAGGGTGCAAACCTTAGAAGAGTATAATGCATCTGAGATGATGCAGTTATGAAACTTATCTTGAGCTTTAGGGTATATTTGGATCACATAAAAGGCAAGGGGAAATAAAAAATGATAATTAAAATTGTTTTGTCCTGCTTTGCCTTGTCAAATGCATCTGAAACTGAAATATGATTTTTTCTTTTTAAGTTTGCTTTTATTTATAAATTTCATAGTCTGTATGAGAATGAGATAGGCATAAGTTATAAAATTAAAGGAGTTTCATAAAATTACTAAAATAAATATATTGATTTCTAGTCTCTTTTATGATCTTTCCCTAATGATCTAAACGAACCCTTAGTACCTGAAGTGAGAGAACGTGATGGAACTACGATTAGGAAGAAAGCAGCAAAAAAAAGGGTGAAATTTTGGAGCATTTCTGTTCTCAAAATTAGCCACTCCATAGCTCCATTTGAACTGAAAAAGACTTTTGCGTCTGCATCAATTAGTTTCAGATAGTTGTGAAAAAACATGTCTACCATATCAAATGCCCTTATTGTGACAACCCCAAGTGACGTCTCGGTTGCATAACTCATTAGTGGAGCCTTTGTTGTCCCGTTGCTCCGCATCAGTTCCCTTGCCGTGGGTTGATAGTATTCCTTCATCCAAAAAAAGATACCAACATAAAGTCATAAACAAGCACACTTTTATTATCCAGGGGGGATGGGGATTATATATCAAGATTCGGGGTTCAATCTTGAGTAGTCCAATGTTTTAGATGTTGGTTTCTATCTTTATATTTGTCCGATGTGAGTGTGTGAGATAGTTAGCATTACAATAGTAGACATTGCTGAATATACTCGTCTAACCCCGACTAACCCCTTCTCGGGCCCACCTAGGCTCTCCTTTTACAACATTGTTAGGAGAAGACATCTGACCTGGACATATTTGGAGGCAACAGTAGCTATGATGCCTACAATGAGAACCTGCCATGTGACGAAGGCCATAATACAAATTGTGGCAACCAACTCTATTACACCAGACATTAGATAGGCATATGTCAAAGGGATGTCAAAGTCCAATACACTCAGGTCTGAAGAAGCCTGAAGTGGGAGGGAAAAACGGGAACTTATTATCAGGGAAAAAACAACGCAAAACGTGTATGTGTGTGTGAGTGAGTGAGAGAGAGATAGGGAATGCATATGCCTTCATCTTACACGAGTTAGTATCCGTCCAACGGGGGTAGAGTCGAAGAAAAGGATGGGAGCCTTGAAAACGGAGTCTAAAAAACCAGAGAAAAAAACTTTTGAGGCTTTGAGTCCGAGGAAAGCAGCAAATAGGGATCTGAGATACACAAAGAGTGTACTTAGCAGAGAAATCAAAGTAAAAACTCCAATGATCATTAGATGACTGATGTTGGGGCTTTGAATGGACATTGCTAGCCAGTAGCTTGCTGCAGCCTGCAAAACCATAAAACCGGTCTGACCTACAATGCTTAGTATCAAGAAAAGGGATCCTTTGGAAACCAAAACGTAATCCATGATTATCTTCCACATAGATTCATTCGTCTCCCTCTCCTCATTTTCTGTTAGCTGAAGAGCCCCTTTCTTCAATGAAATCTGACCATTTTCTTCATTTTCTAATTGGTCCATTTTGACCTCTTCATGCCCTCCACCCCCATGATCAATCTGAGGTCTATGATCAATCTTTTTCTTCGGTGGATCAAATGCATTTACTGCACTTTCGTGAGCATTCACGAGCTGTTCGAAGCGCTTCCCCTTCATCAGCAGCTCATTGTAGCTTCCTGATTGACCGATTTCTCCTTCTTCCAGTACCTAGATGTATTAAACCACAAATTACTTCTGATGTACAAATCAGGACTTAATTGAGTCACTCAACTATGTGTGCAAATGAGTTGAATCCGCAGTACAGGATTAAATCCCAACTATGTGTGTGCAAATGAGCCATATAAACCCATATGCTTTTCCTAATACTTCCTCTGTCCTAGAGTATTCATCCAATTTGACTTTTTCGAGTTAAACCGGACAAACTTTAATCATAAATTACATAAATTTTTGTTACATATTAATACAATGAAATAAGTTTTTAAAAGTTTTCCACAAGATAAATCTTAATAGAATTATTTTTGTACTAATATACAATATAATTTATATTTTATTGATAATCAAAGTCAAAGTCAAACTGGACAAATACTCTGGGACCTTGATATTAGTATTTAGACATGGGACTGTTAACAGCAACTGACTGTTTACAACAATTGTCATTAATTACCAGAATGTGATCAACAGCAGAGAGAAATTCTACTTGGTGAGTAACAAGAATGACAGTTTTCGTCTTCAATGCACTGATAACACATTCCTGCAATTACATTTAAGTGCAGTTAATAATCAAATAAGCATATATGTTTATATGAGTTGGATTAGATTTCTTACATGGAAAAGAGATGAAGCAGTATGTGCATCAACAGCACTGAAAGGGTCATCTAGAAGATAAATGTCTGCATCACTGTAAACTGCTCGAGCCAACTGAATTCTCTGCTTCTGTCCCCCACTCATATTCAGCCCTCTCTGCCCTATCTCTGTCAAGTCACCATAGCTGAAGCTATCGATGTCTTTGTCTAGAGCACACACTCTTATTGCCTCTTCATATCTGCCTTTGTCCATTGACTTCCCAAACAGTATGTTATCACGGACCGTTCCACTCTGGATCCAGCAAGCTTGTGACACATAAGCAATTGAGCCAAACACGTTCACCTGTTTACAAGAAAGAAAAATAAAACTCTGCAATATCAAGATAAACTAGGGAAAGTTGCAGTTTTAGTCCCTGAATTGTTTGACATTTTAGTTGAGATACAATCAGTCTCTCATGTTAAGACAACCATTTAGTATTGAGGGATTATTTTTGCTATACAGAATGCCAAGAATGCCCTCATAAATGGCAGGACTAAATTTTACAGAAATTCAAAGTCGGACATCGCATCACATAGAATCAAAACTGAGTTATTTTCAGTATATAAATTTTAATGTATAACTCACAGTTCCTGAAACTTTAGGTATTTCTCCAAGTATGGCATAGAGAAGTGATGACTTTCCTGCTCCAACAGCTCCACAGACTGCAGTTTTCTGACCCCGTCTCAGTTGAACATTTATGTTTCTAAGTAAAAGCTCTGATTCCCAGCTGAAGCAGCCATTCACTACACTGACAATATTTTCTGAGTGTCCAACCGGAGATCGTCTAACATCCTCTCTTTTAATCTCATCTTCTAACAGGAAAGAATTTATTCTATCAAGGGAAACTTTAGACTGAATTATGACAGAAAGAGCATCTGGTAACAGCGTAACGGGTTCAGACATGACCCTTAATACTGCCAAGACAGTGAACACTGTGGCAGCATCAAATGGAGCACTGTTTAAGAGCACACACCCTAAGAGTACAACAGATGAGATGATTGTGGGAGATACCCAGTACAGGAAGGTACTCACTGTCTTGAACAATTGAGCTTTCGTTAGCCATTTGAATTCGATATCTCTATAGGATTCAACTGTCTTCTTAAAATTTTCTTCCCACGATTGTAGCTTGATGATCTTCATACTGTTCAAGATCTCAGACATGCACCTTAATCTCTTGTCTTGGCCCATCATGAATTCAAACTGACACTTTTGGATTATCTTTGCATATGGCACATTAAGAACTCCAAAGATAGCAAGAGGGGCTAAACCGAGAAGGGCACCACTACCAACCACCCAAAAGAGCACCGCAACAGACAGGAAGATTTGCATAACAGAAATCCAACCAATGTGAAACCACATTACACATTCCCCCATCCGATATGCGTCGATTGCAATATAATTCACAATCTCTCCTGTTGAATGCCTTTGCTTGCCTCGGTTTGAAAGCTTGAGCTGTTTCTGAAAAACTGCTGCCATTAGAGCTGATCTGATTTTCATACCGACCCTCTTGGAGTAGAAATAGAAATGTCGGTTGGGCAGAGTGTCGAGAACCTTATCAAGAACCAAGCACCCAACTAGAAGAAGAGCTTTGGAGAGTCCTTTACTCTCAAGATTTGAATAAGATACGAATGCATATAGCAGAAGTGGAGAAATTGCAACAGCAGTCATCCTAAGAAGTGCATAGACTCCCCCGAGCATGATTTCTTTCCGGTATCTTTTTGATATAGCTTTTAGAATCAAGTTTGATGAACCTTTGGAGCTATTTTCCCACTCATGACACAGTTTATCATAGTTCAACTTTGCTTCATCTTCTGATTCTAAACATGGAATGTCTTCAAGAAGTAAAATTTTTGACTTGCCTAACTGGAGCAAATGGTTCATCCAAGAAAATGACAATTTGCTAAAGAAACTAGCATGCTTCCCACTATCACATTGTTCAACAACTAATAGAGGTTCAGGTAAAGTCTTGACAGAAACTGGTTGAGAAAGAATGAGAAGACGGAAGTTAGTCAAAGCGGAAAATAGAAGAAATAAGGTAAGGATCCACGCTATAACTTCCATAATTTCGATGGTGCGGGTTCTGACCAAAAGTTCAATGTTCAGTGAAGAAATCAACAGAAAGGAAACAACCCACCAACTAGATACGAAAAACTTGACCACTTTTGATCCTTGAACAAGCAAGGAGAAGGTAAAGACAATCCAAATCACTCCTTTTATGAAGTACGGAAACCAACTTAGCGAACGGAAATCATGACTTTTGGTGTTAAGTTTGCGAAGAGTGGCACCGAGATACACAACACTAGTAAGGGCACAGCAAAGGGATACCACAAAATGGAAAGTGGACCTTCTGGATTCTCTAATGTTAATCCTCATTGTAGGACATCCAAGCAAGGCCAGAAAGTAGACACATGCTAAGAATATATTCAAGGCATCAACCAAAGCTCTGTGGATGCACAGTGACCCCCAATGGAGTTCTTCTCCACAGATCCAAGAAAATGTCCCTGTCATACCAGTAAGTAGATGCCCAAATATGGAAATCATATTACCCAAAGATCTTGGTAAATTTAATCACAAAAAAAAAACATGAAGCTCACTGTTATGAAGTAAAACTCACCAAGTAAAGAATGTAGATAAGAAGCCATTGTCCTTTAATCTATTTAGATGAGCTTGAGAGCTGCTCAAGTGAGTGAAAGGGGCTTCTTATGTTCAAATGATATACTCCCTGTCCCCTATAAATATTTTTCTGCTCTGCTTTTTTTTATTCCAAAATAAATTTTCCACTTTCTCTTTCCCTCTTTGGAAATCAATAAATGGCTCACATTTTCTCTCTTGCTTCTAAATATATTCTAACCATATTTACACTTTTCAACATTTTTTCGCAATTTCCGTGATATCGAAGTGGAAATAATCTTTTCGGGACGAAGGAGTAAGTGCACAACCTCTTATTGGTCTGTATTATTTCTAAAACTTGTTATACCAAAAAAAATCCCATATGTTAGACAGGATTTGAAATCCACCTTGAAGCTCAAAGCCATACATATTTCTAGGACAGAGATACTTGTGTTATGCTTTCAGAGTCAATAATTTAATCTCAACCACCACCATTCAAGAATTAATTAGTATGTATTTGGAGTTTAGTCTTTCTCTCAGTCACAAGAATTAATTGTGTTAGTTGAGATTGTTATTTCTTTCCCCTCCTTCCGTCCCAAATACGGGAATGGGAGGAGAGAAGAAACAAAAAAGAAAAAGGACAAATTAGTCTTTTTAGTAAACTTTATTTGCCAAATAAGAAAAACATATGTGACGACCTAAAAAGAAAATGAGAAAAAAGATATGAGAGGGAGTGAATACTAGAAGCAGTTTTCTTATTCTAAGAATTATTCAAGGACCATGCTAGGGTGCCACCACATGGATGCTACCATGGGTGTACTCATGCTTTGCACAGACAAACACAGACGATAATTGTCTGTGTGACAGAGACAATTATCGTCTGTGTTTGTCTGTGCGAAGCATGAGTGCACCCATGGTAGTACCCAGGGCACCCTAGCATTTTCCATTATTCAATTGGAGTGGGGAGTTTAAAAGCAGAAAATTACTATTAGGTACCCTAGGTTTTATGGTAAACACTGTGAGGTCCCAAATTATCAAAAATTACTTGAGGGTCCTCTAAAATTTAATGTTTAAGACTGGGGGGTGTTTCCGTCTAACCCATCGTCAACCCACCGTCAGTAGAAATGATTTATCTATTTTACCCTTATTTATTTCCTAAATAAATGGTGGCCTCAAACCTTCTTACCATATCCAGTTGACTTCCCCCTGCTCTCTGTTTAGCATGTCCAACAACCTTCTTCCCCATCAAAGTTATTGACCCTCTTCTCTATGGTATGGAATGCTCAGACTCATCATTATTATTGTAGATGTTTTTTTTTACGCTGAGACCAAGAAATTTTTTTTAATGTTGCGAATAAACAAATGGTTGAACCAAGCTGAGATGAGGTTTTTCTCAAATCTCATTGTCATCTTTACGTAGGCTTTAAATTTCAGCCCATGTCTAGCTTTTAATGGTGTGGTTAATTCACTCCACATTTGCCAATTTTTTCAGTGGAATAATCTTCAGAAAAGTATGCCTCCAGTTCATGCTGAGAAAACAAATTCCTGAAAATTATATAATTTTCTCTATGAATCTCTTTCTATCTCTACCTTAAATTACAATTTTAAAAATGTGTATTTTTTTAATTTTTATCCTCAAGTGTCGAAATTACTTTTAGGAACAAATATCTTAATTTGCAAACCGAAACTTTAAGTTAAAATCGATTGGAAAAGAAAAACTATAATAATAATAACAAATAATTAAGACATGTAGAAAATAAAAGTTTGAGAATAAAAGATTATAAGACTTAAGAGAAACACCTCCAAGATTTAGGAGAAAAAAATTGAAATTTTATAGCAGTAGCTAAGCTCTTGATGTTGGTTATTTGTAGTGGCAAAAGGAGGAAATTAACTGGAAACAACCTCTCTTTCTTAGCATAAGGACATGAACAGTTGTTCTAGATTGAAATGGGTGGTGTTGAATTTAATTTGAAGGAGAATAGTGGGGGTTATAATGGGAATTGCAAAGGTTTATTTATTAGAGAAAACGGCATCTTGGTTCCTAACGGAGGGTTAGATGGGAATGCCCCTCTCAGTTCTAAACATCTAATTTTAATGGACCCCTGAGTAATTTTTGATAATTTGGGACCTCATAGTCTTTACCACAAAATCTAGGGTATCTAATAGTAATTTTCTGGTTTAAAAGTATTAAAAGGGATAGAAACTACTTTGGGTATAACGGAGAATCATAGAAGCATCCAATTGGCCAAGTGTCATAATATGACATTGAGGTACAATTTCATACGAAATTACAAATCATGTTGATTTACTTAATCATTACAATTTTTGTGATAAATCTATTAAACAGTTAAATAAATATAGACAAACATTATGTTTATATCCTTTTGTAAATAGAGTTAAGTTCTTTTTAAACCGGACACCAGTGTCATAGAGGGGCGGTCGGGCAGATCCATAGCTTAATAATTGGGGGCAATGGACTCTACTAGTTTTAAGTTTTTGTTTATCATGTGTATTGTGATACTTTAATTTTTTAATTTTTTTAGAGTTATGTAATATATGACACCAACTAAAAATATTAGAAACCCTAATAAAAAGTATTAGAGGCCTCAATTAATAGTATTAAGTAAGAAAAAACTAAGAGAAATCAAATATTTAGATATTAAAAAATATAATTTTAAAGTGAAATATTTTAAAATGCAAAGATAAATTCTAAAGTAGTACACTAAAAATATACGGAGTGATAATTAAACTAATTTATAATATTGGCATTAAAAAAAAATTATTTTTTATTTTTTTACTATTTGAATAACTATTTAAGGGTAAATTCATTTTTTTTAAAGTCTCGCATTGCATGTATAAAAACAATTTGGAAAACTGTCCAAGAACACTCAAAAGGTGAGCCCTACTATTTAATACTCCGTGTATCCTGGATCTGCCACTTGTGTCATAGTATGACGCTAATGTATTTGAGAACTTGTAATGTTTCATTCGGCCTTAAGAAGATGAAAAATGCTAGGGGTACACTAAAGGTGTACCGCACTTGTCCCCCACCCCCTCCTTGTCCACATAAATGGGAAAGAGATTCAAAATAAATGAATGATGAAGAAAGGGGTAGGGGACAAATGGGGTACACCTTTGGTGTATGTACCCTAGCATTGCTCTAAAAAGATTCTCCCCTAAAGTCCTCACCTAGGTTTGTCTTTTGCCCTAGGGGTGTTCAAAAATATCCGATCCGAAATATCTATCCACGATCCGGGCCAATCCGGTCCGATCCGAAAAATGGATATCCGATCCGATATTTTAGCTTTCGGATATTTCGGATTGGATACCCGAAAAAAATCGGATCGGATATGGATTCAATTTCTGGAATTTTTCGGATAATCGGATATCCGAATTTTCGAATCCGAAATTTTCGGATATCCGAATTTTCGGATCGGATCGGATCGATCCGATTGAACACCCCTATTTGCCCCACCCCCTCCCCTCCAATCATGCGTCTCTAATTTTGTCAAATAATAGAAAAAATATGTAGAGAAAAATATTTAATTTAATACGTAGTACTCCATATTTGAATTATATAACCTCTCTAATTTTGTCAAATAATAGAAAAAAATATGGAGAGAACAAAGTTTAATTTAATACGTAGTACTCCATATGTGAAGTATATATGTAAAGAATCGTCAAAGACATTGTGGTTCAGATCCAGCAGTATCATAGTGACTTATCCAGATAGAAGATCACGAGCCTGAACTACAGTGGCGGGTGGTAGCTCTTTGTACTTTAATAGGACTTATTTTTAAAAAAAAATTAAATTAAATTCATAAACAAGAGCCAACCGGACCTATGTCCGTCTTCGACCCCCATGGCGCTCGCGTTCCATTAACAAGAGAACATCTTCATGATCCATTGCCATCGAATTCGAGTCGATCCAACGAGTTCTAAGAGTTATTTTTAAAACATTAAAATTCATACTAGCACTTGTATTTTGCATTAAAAAATACTCCCTCCGTCCATGTAAGATCTTCCCATTACGCGTTATGAGGCTTGACCGACTTTATTTTTAATTCAATTTAATTCATTATAGGAGTAAAATTTTAAAATAAAATTTATATAGTACTCCCTCCGTCCCACTGTCTTTGTCCACTTACCTTTTGGTACACCATCCAATGCACTTCTCTAATCCATTTTATCTTGTAATTTGTATATTAAAAAATTATAAACATTATATATTAATAATCTATATGTTAAGACGAATCAACCAAGATCACACATGACTATTTTTAGGCTTACACATTGAGAGAATTTGATGAGTCAAAGTGCTTTGATGAACAGTTCCAAAAGTTAAAACTGGACAAAGACAATGGGATGGAGGTAGTAATAAACTACATGAAAAGTTCTACAAAACTAGAGATGACAAGACTATATTATTTTATGAAATGACTAGTAAAAATGAGCAAACAAAGTGATTAAAGTTTGACCCTGTGAATAGTGTCTGAGAAGATCTATGGTGGACAGAGAGAGTAATAAAAATCAAATTGCATATATTAAACCTTTTAAAGTATTTTATTTTGAACTTTTAATTACTTTTTAGATATATTTAACAATATTATGAATAATATAAAAAATTAATATGTACCGCTTTTTTTTTAAAAATGTACTCCTTCCGTCCTAAAACTTTCTTCCCAGAGCACTATTCCAATTTCATGAGAATTTATATTTATTTGTGTTTTTTCATGGCCTATATGATAAAATAAAATATTCTTGTCACCACTTGTTTTGTTGAACTTTTGATGTAATTTTTAAATATGTATGTTTTATTTTTTTATTTTTATACCAATATTTAAATAAAATAGATTGAAAAAACTTGAGATTTTTCTTTGTTTTGCGCAACGGGAAGAAAGATATAGAACGGAAGGAGTAAGATAACTATATAGTATTTGGTATCACTAAAACTTGTTTAAAAATATAAATTTATACACGATAATGAGAAATGAAAAAAAATAAAAATACAACTTTATTTTTAATACATTATTTTTCATATTAACGTGATTATGAAAAATTCTTCCGTTAGTTGGGTTTGATCCATTTTTTAGCAGATTATTTCAGATCTGATTATATTTGGATTCGGTCAAACAAACTTTTTGTTCAAAATCTAGTATTCCCTCTGTTCCTAAAAGATTGTCATAGTTTGATTTTTTTGTTAAGCTGTTGCACCATTTGATTATGAATTAAATATAGTTTAAAATAATTAAATATTATAAAATTTGATATTTTAAACAATATTTTAAAATAAACTCAATTTTATTAAATTTACATTATAACTAAATATACTTTTCTATAAATCATGATCAAATATTGCCACATTTTGATTAAAAAAAATCAAACTTTAATAATCTTTTTAGGGACAAAAAAACATTTAATGTTCCCAAATAATATCCCTTCAAATGTCAAGGAGACCCTATTGATGGGGTTCGTCCTTTTTAGGAAACCAGTAAAAAAAGAAAAACAGAAAATAGGCCATATGCAGCTTGTGTGGCCCTCACCCCAGGGAGTAGTATTTAATACGCCTTTTTTCAAAAAACGTGATTCAGGGCTTCCTCATTATAGATCTAGCATACCTGTCAATAGAAAAGTATTTAACCATGTTAGGGACACACTAAAAACTACTCCCTCCATTCACAAATAGACTCTTTGTTATGAGTTATGATATTTAATTGAAGTTATTTTCAAATCATTTTATATGATAAATGGTGTAAAATTTATAAATAAAATTTACATATTAAAAAACTATATGAAAAGATCTACAAAACTAGAGATGCCATGACTATATTATTTTATCAAATGAGTAACAAAAATAGGCCAACAAAGTACATATAAAGCTTGACCCTGTGAATAGTGAACGAGAAGTTTATTTGTGGACGGAGAGTTATATCATAATTTTATGCTAAGACCATAGATATAAGTCCCGTTTGGCATCAATGTTAGAGATTAGTGTTAACGTTTTGAAAAAGCTATCCGACGGTTGCTTTTAGCGTTAGCATTTTCGGAATAAATCTACATCATTAAAATTTTATCCAAAACGCTAAGGCCCCGTTTGGTACACGGAATTCAAATTATGGATTTGGAATTGAGGACTCCAATTCCAATTCTGGTGTTTGGTAGCACAAAAACTATGTGGATTTGGAATTGCTAGTGTAAAAAATGAACTGGAATTAACAGAATTCAATTCTATGGAATTGAATCCATGGAATTTCAATTCCAATTCAATTCCAATTCCACCAATTTCTTATACCAAACGGACCCTTATAAAATTTCAATTTCAATTCAATTCCAATTCCATCAATTCCGTATACCAAATGGACCCTAACGCTAATTGAAAAGATGTTTCCAAACAAGACTATAATGTCTATGCCCAAACACAAATTAAACATCAGTGTTTGCATTTAGTGTATAATTAGATACACCTTTTAGTGTACCTTTAGTAACTTCAAAAATTTATTAGCGTGGTATTCCGATCAATGAAAAAACAAGGAGAGAAATTCCATATTTAGAAAAATCCTTTTAGAGCTTGTTCTTCAAGACGGGAAAAAAAGAGATGGATGTTGGAAGAAACTGGAAAAAACTGAAGGGAACTGAAAAAACTGGAAGAGACTGAAAGAAGGGAGATGGACCAAAATAGGAGTAAAAGAGATATCATATCCCAAAATAAGAGTTAAAACTTAAACTCCCCTAAATAGGAGTAATGATTTTGACATGATGTAGCTGAATATCTACGTACTCTGTAGTACTAACCCCATCCACGGCAATGAACCCTTTGGGGACAATATACCTCAGAAGCTCCTTCATCGTCTTCACCATCACCCACAACGAGTCCCCTTCAGATTCGAACCCTACGATTTCTCCAGTCTCGTCTACATGTCCCTGCACAAAGTGACCTCCCATCCCAGTGCTCAGCGTCAAAGCCCTCTCCAAATTGACTCGAGATCCGCGTTCCAGCTTTCCTAGGGAGGTCTTCCGCAGGGTCTCCGGAGCCACGCCAACCGAGAATCCGGACGATCCAGTGTCGAATTCCGTGACGGTGAGACAGGTGTCGTTGACTGCAATGCTGTCCTCGAGGCCGACGCCTTCGAGGATGCGTTCACGCTGATCTTCAAGGTGAAACTATCCGGATACATTTTGCAGCGGTGGATTATCAAATGCATTTTAATTTGATCCTACTAAATGGGCCACATTACCACAAATATATTAATCCTTCGAGTAAATTTTATTTATAACACCTAAATTCATTTAAATGACATGTTTTTCACCTTTAATATATACATACACATTTTAAATACAGTGTAGATGTAAATTACTACATTAAAATATATATACATTGTCAAAAAAACCATACTAAATGCCACATGTAATCATATAATGGCAATCATGCCCATGTATAAGGTCATACATGCGAATGCATAATGCTAAACAAATTAGATTGATAATGTCAACCTTGACATTGTATAATGTCATTCCTGACAATGTATAATAAAAGATATGTCAATGCATAATGTCAAAAAGGAGTAAATGTAACACCCTAATCCGTCCAGGTCTGCAGCCCCTTTCGGACTAAAGTATTAACTTGGTAATCGTAAAATTTAAAACATTTTAAACACTTTTATTTATCACAATAATATTTTTCATATTATAAACAGTACGGAGTTTTCAATATTGCGGAAGCTTTAACAAATCATAATTACAAACATAATTTATTTATGTTCTTTAATTCAGAACCATCACATTCGTTCCGACAATCTCGCCCCCGTCTGCCTCCAGGACCACGTCACTTCATTCTTTCTAATAACCTGCGTGTAGCAAATAAAACATACTACACGCTCAGCGTTGAAGCTGAGTAAAAATATCTAATGCATCGAACATCCATATAAACTGAATCTAAATCCATAATCAAATCATTTGATATCATGCACATAATGTTCACTTCAGATAATCAATAATTATTAAAAACTATTCATCATTCATTATTCAACATTTATATTCACATTCAATGTTCATCAGTCATTCATAATAATTGCAATATTCAATTCAATATTCATCATTCAATATTTATTCATATTCAATATTCAATATTCAATATTCAACAATATTCTTAAACTATCCTTAGTCTAAGGCCAATCACTTTAATATTTGTCAACCCTTACACGAATTTTAGTTTAAATAATTAAACTATATTCCAGTATAAAGTATTCCTAAATAATCCTTAAGCTAGGCCTAGTCTAAGATGAAAGGGTTTTGAAAATCTTAAACTTACCTTCACTTAAGGCCAACCAAAAACCGACAGCGTAGTCTTCACTGTTGGGTGGGTGGTACCCCCAAATGAGTAGGTACTCAAGTTTGGTTCTTGGATCCCGTACGTATGTATTAACCCTAGCCACCAGGGTTCATACCCGCAAGGCCTAGCTCAAATAGGTATATCTTAGAGGTTTTCTAGATACCTTTCAAATCAACATTAATATGGATATATCTTAGAGGTCTTCTAGATACCCTTAATAATCATCATCATTTCCATGATAACCATTATATTCATTTTTAATCATGATTTAATCATCAATAATCATTCTAATCAGTAGGTTCATCATTCATAATCATCCATAATAATCATTCACCATAGCCATCAATTTACATAACGCTCAATAACAAGTAGCGGCCTAGTTTCGAGTGTTAACACTCTAACTTACCGTCATGCATCACATAAGGTTTTATTTGTTAAAAACATCATTTTCATGGTGGAAAATCATACTTATAATGATCATAATCAATTGGTATCAAAAATAGGATTTCATAACTCAAAAACCATGTTTTCTGAACAATAATTGATTAATATATCATAGGAAAATCGATTAATTGCTTCTGGCTTCATTTCTTCAGTAGATTAATACCATAATCGATTATTTTGCTCAAATAATCGATTTTTACTTAAAATAATCGATTATTTTAGGTAAAAATTGATTTTTGTGTTGCTGAACTCAATTTCTCTAGCAGACAAAAGTCTAATCGATTTATTTATGAAAAATCGATTTTGCATCGTCTTCTACCTCGAGCCAACTTTCGAAAATGTCAATTTTAGTCACCAAATTTCAATTAAAGTATATAGAAATGTTCTCTAAGGTTCATAGATCATTTTGGTACCATTAGTTCCAAGTTTTAACAACGATTTCAAGGTTTATGATTCTTGGTTCTTCAAACATGTCAAACACAAAACTCAACCAAACGATCGTTTATGAACGTAGAAACGATCTATACGAACATTCTAATCACTAGATATATCTATGGGCTTACCTCGAAGCTTAATGGAGGTTTTGAAGATTTTCCGGCGAATCTTCCGGCGACAAAAGCTCTCAACTCCGGCGACCTCACACCAAATTGACAGCACCACTGCGTTCTCCACACTCAAGGCTATCTCTCAGATCAAATTTGATGAAGAATGGTGAAGAAATGGTGAAGTTGGGTTTCTTATATAACAAAAGAATGGAGGAAGAGGCCAAGGTTATGATGTATCCTGTTAAGAGTATTCCACATCGAAAAAGTGTGAGGAAAATAATCGGTATATAAGCTCTTGAGTTGAACTAACTAATCGATTGGATTCAATCTTTTAATGTGGTTCAACCCAAGTGTCTTATTACCCAATCGAGTTGTCCATACCCATCCCAAATTCTATCATGGTATCGGAGCAGGTTTTGGCCCACCTCGTTTGTCAAGGTGTCCGTCTAGACGTTCATTCCTAGCGGCCCGTTAGTCTTTAGCCCAGTTGTCCGTATGCAGTATGTACTCAACGGCCTGTGGTCCGTTTAACACGATTGCTCGTCTAGAAGTCCATACCCAGCGGCTCGTGGTCCTTTAATTTAGGTGTTGGCGCTCAAAAAAAAAGTCAAGGGAATGGGAGTTCATTTGCAAGTGGTCAACCGGTTAGATTCAAAATGGCCCGGTTGTCCACTTGAGGGGGAGTGTTAAAAGTATCCCACATCGGAAAAGTGTGAGGAAAATAATCGGTATATAAGCTCTTGAGTTGAACTAACTAATCGATTGGATTCAATCTTTTAATGTGGTTCAACCCAAGTGTCTTATTACCCAATCGAGTTGTACATACCCATCCCAAATTCTATCATATCCGTTCCTGTTTCGGCGTCTCAGTGGAGGGGGCTGCGGTTCTTACAGATTTTAAGCGTAAGTCCCTGATTGGGACTACTTTTGGTCCCAGTCGGGGTACACTTCTTGGTCCAACGTTCTCCAAATTGAAATCCGTTTGCACCGTTGCGATCGTGCAGTTAAACTCTATCCGAAGATATAATTTTCATATTTATTTGTAATACTTTTTCCGACATCATATTTTTGGGTGGTTGACTTTGACAGACTCAAAATTCATTTAATTGACCTTTGTTCAATAAAATTCATATATTTAATTCATATTATTTATTTTCATGATTTATTTCAATAAATCATTTCAAAGTTCACATTATAAACAAATCCCTAATTTGGGTCTATACTCTGGTTCCCCAAATTAAGATCATACAGTAAATCAGCATATTGGATTTATCTCTATGAGATTTATCCAGATTGTGATATTGGATATCAATATATGTTTTATTTCGGCCCAAAGCCCAACAACAATTTATTTTAATCAAAACAAATTTGATTAATTGAATAATTATTAATTAATAATATTAGGGTATATTTTGTGGCGTTACAGTAAATGTCAAGAAATTCTACTATTTACCAACACCATAATCATTCAGTTTCAATACGAATTTTACAAAAAAAAATTCCCTAAGAAGTAAATTCACAATTAAAAGGGAATGTCATCTCTTATTTCAAATTGAACATAAAATTGAATTCAAACTTTTCCACGTGGTTGAAAGAATTAGTATCAATTTAGTGGTTGATTGCCATGGATTCTTGATCGCAAGGAGAGGTGACATTGAATTGATTCTTGATCGTCATGGATTCTTGATCGCAAGGAGAGTTTTTTGTGCGGCCACGGCTAATCAAAACATATATTTAATTAATTATTCTTATTTAGAGAAGTTTAAGTTTGAACTCCTTTTTTGAGGATATGATCCATGTTTTACTCCTATTTAGGGGGTTTTGTTCTGAAAGAAACTAGAAGGAACTGGAAGAAATTGGAAAAAACTGGAAAAAACTGGAAAAAACTGGAAGAAACTAGAAAAACTTCAAAAAATTGGAAAACCTAAAAAAACTTTTAAAAAATTTATTTTAAATTCTTGTTGTTATAAATTATTATTATTATTATTATTAATAGTATTATTATTATTATCATCATCATCATCATCATCATCATCACCATCATCATCACCATCATCATTATAATACCTTTAAGATACAAAAAAAGTATTGTTATTTTTCAAATACAAAAACTACTTTTGCAAAAAAATAATTATAATATAAAGTTAACATAAATATAGAAATATAAAATTTTAAAAAGTTTTTATGGTTACGTTGCACCTCAATTTATTTATGCAGTATTCATTATAAATAATATATTTGTCATTGTACTTTATATATTACAAGATTTTGTTTTAAATATCAGACATGTCACATAATTCAAACCTATTTTTTTATTTCATGATTGACATTTTATTTTCATTGAAGTCCTATTTTTGGAATAAAGACATAGAACTTTTTTTTTTACATTTTTATGTTTTACTCCTATTTTAGTCTTTTTCTCTAAACTATTTTGACTCATAATTTTTTTTATAAAGATTAGAAAAATGAGCAAATCTTAAGTAATAAAGAGAAAGGTGAGAGGTCGTATATAAAGTTAGATTAATAAAACATTCTATTTCACTATTTTTTCCATAATTTTTTAATATAGTTTAACATATTGATGTTTTCCTGTTTTATCATGTAGATTAATATATCGAAAATTGTCTTATTCATATTAAAAAGTTGAAGATAAAAAATAATGAGTGTGATGGTGTAAATTACCTAACCGGGTAAACAATACTAGACCGGGTCTAGGATTGTTTACTTGATTCGATAAAGTGAAAGGTAAAAACACACAAATTGACGGGGAGGTTTGTAGGTGGAAACACCTGTAGCCCAATTAATATTGAAACCGAGAATGCATGGGAGCTTTTACAAGAGAGTTTAGAGAGAAGGAATTCGGATCCCTTCCTTCAAAGGCTACAGAAGTATTTATACTAAGTTAAAGGGGACAAAGCGTCGTGCACCCATGTTTGTGCACGTTATTGGGATATATGGTGCGAGGTGATTGACCCTGTCCTATAGTGGTCTTGTCGCCTAGTGAGGAAGATTGCTCCCTCGTCATGTAGCACTTTGGATGGATTGTTCAAGCATCTCCAGCGATCTTCCGCAAATCTTGGTCGCTACGGTCCAAGCCCCTTTGGACTCTTCCCTGGCGACACTTCATAACCTTAGAAACCATGCCGGGTGACTTCTGAAGGATTGGCTCCCCGAAACGGATGATAAACGGGGTAATGAAGTAGTTTGAACAATATACTATCCAAAGTATACCGGCCAACTTTTGACTCCACCAAACATTATTTTACTGACGACTTAGGTCTCCCATCTTAGAAAAATAACTTGACTGGTTGGAAATATGAGCGTCTTCATTGCCTAGTTCTGGTTGGAATACACCCATCAATAATCCTTCCACTTCTCGGCCATGTAAATATCAAGGGCGGGAAGTAAAAATCCGAGAAATGGATCCAAAAATTCGAACTCCGGGCCTTTCCTGCTAAAAATGTTCAAAATTCGAATTTTGAAAAGTATTGAGCTTGACACGTGTTGCGCGCTGGGCGTGGTTGCAGTCGCGCCTTTCCATCTTTCCAGGCAAAATGATGGCGCCGCCTGACGCGGCACGCCCTGAGGAAGCCATGTCGCCCTTCTCCGATTCTTCCTTGCCTATATAAAGGCTCTCAACCCTTTCTTTCCTTCACTTTCTCGCGCGCGTCCTTCTGAGTTTCACCGGTCAAGTTCTTCGCTCTAGCCTTCCAGCTCTCCGAGCCAAGTAAGCTCCTCTTCCTTTCTTTGTTTCCTTTCCTAGTCATGTCTTCTTCTGATAGCCAAAACATCTCGTCCTCAGATGCCTACGCATCTGATGATTCTACGACCTCCTCCTCTTCGACCAGGTATTACTCTTCTGATATCGAAACCCGGTCGGTTCCCCACCCCACTGTCCCCGAACCAGAGCCGGTCAATCAGATGCCCGGTCAGGTTGTCATGGAGAGGGATGAACCGGTTGGTGACGAGCCGGGTCCCTATGATCCTGAAAACGAGTTGTGGATGGAGTGGGAGGACCGGCTAGAGGCAGCCGGTTACTTTCCCCTCTCCACCAGTTACGTCTTAGACATCTACCCCCGGGTATCTAAGATTGCACAAAACAAAGCCCGTAGGAACCTCCCAGCAGGCTATGTCCTTGAGTACGACCCGAATTGGCCCAACATCATCGAGCCTCACCGGGAGGATAGAATAGGTTTCCATATCACTTCCTTGGAGGGTGGCATCCTTTTCCCTCTTGTGATGGGTACATATATATCTTTTAAGTCTAAAGGATCCTAACCATAAAAGCTAACTAAATAAACTATTATACTAATAACCTAATATGATAGTAATACTTTTTAATAATAATAATTAATTAGCTAGTATTAATAATAACCTTGCCAATAATAAAAATAATAATAAATACTACTAATAATATTTAAATATCCTACTTCACTATCCATAACACTCTCACCCCCTTAGAAAACCATAGTGTTTTCAAGGTTGAAGTTTCCACTCATGTTTTTGGACAGAGGACGGAAGGGCAAACGTTTAATACGTCCACCGTTCAATCAATCTGCAACAAACTCGCTCGTAGGGTGGAGCAAGAGAAATCTGAACCAAAACCAAGCATACGTAGGGCTGTAAATGGATAACTCAAAATTCGAATACCGTCCGCATCCGTATCCGTTTATATGGAAAAAATCTGCATCCGTTAAAAGCGGTTATTATCCATATCCGTTTAAGGATATCTGATTGCTAAACAGATACAGATTTGGTAATCATACTTCCGATCCATTTATAATCCGCTCCGCATTGGCTTCCGTTTAAATACCCGTTTATCCGTGCATCTGATTTGTTATATATAGTTTTTCCTAATTTTTATTTTTATATTTTGTTTCTCTATTTATATCTCAAAGTATAAGACACTTTTATATACAAAATATATGTGTAGACACATAAAAATATGTGTAGA